CAGGAATCGAATCATGTACAATATGCATGTTTGGTGAGCATTCTACCATTGCACCATTGAGACACCTTTTACTAGTATCACTGCTACTTCCACTACTTTTATATTCTAATACTATTTGAAATAATGATAATAACTACCAGAATTTTAAAAATTATCAATTCGCATTAGATGCAGCAAAAAAGCAGATGGAGAGAAAAAAGCTAGTTACTTGTTACCGTCCGAGACTCAGCAGATATTATAGCTGAAAATCACCAGATGGAAGCTTTTGAGATTCCAGTTTCGATATAAAGCGAATGCATTTTTTTCAATTTTAAGCCATTTCACTAATACCAAGAATGTGTGCAACGGAGACTATACTGTAAATTATCTTTTTTTGATAAAATGTAAAAAAACACATCTCCTGGAGTCTTCGGTATTTTCGCTTAAAAGACAAACATATCATTAACATAACTGTAATTTGTTCCTACTTTAATAACTAATGTGATGTAGGGCCTAGATGGTGACTGAAGGAGTGATGTTATAGCGTACTGCCATAATATACCAGTTTGAAATGAGCGTCAAGAGAATTCGAGTAAAAACAAAGCATTTTTGATGATTATAATGGGCTACATATACTAGCATGGAACCATAAAGATGCCAATATATTACATGTTTAATTCTAAACTCTATGACTATCAAACAACATATATTTACTGCCACAGACTAGCGAGAATTGTTCATTGGAACTAGTGAATTCAGGGCTACTTTTTATCATTATTCAACTATAGAGTGTAAATTATTGCTATTTTTCTGTTTTTACGTATACCATGTTTGAGAATTTAAGTAAATTAGGTTTTTTATGAATGTTGCTTATTTCACTGTTCTGCTGAATAAATGTTAAAATGTATACAAGGCGAGTGTTTAAACTGTATTTTTCGCTTTGCCTAAATATCTGTTGAAATCTAGAGCTGATTTATTAGCATGAAAAATAGGAAAGTAACTGGGTTTCTTTTCGGATATTAATCACTCTCAGTGAGAAGTGAACTTAGCAAAAACTTCACACAAACTCGAAAATCAACAGTCTAAAAAGATCGACAAGTTGGTAGAAGAGGCAGCCAGTGAAGACAGTAATTTAATTAAACATACGGAAGACAGGTGACGCTGATACCCGATGACCAACAGCAACAACAACAAGCTCCAGTCACTGTTAGCGAGAAAAATTTCAAGGAGGTTGTCCCTTCTACTGATCTAGGAGGCATTGTTTCAACTACAAGTAGCATCAATGAAGGCGTCAATATTAGACTGGTCTGGAAAGAAAGATTAGTCTGGAATCAGTTTTTAAATCGGCTGCGCTGAGAATAAGGAACAGGATTTAGACTTTCAAAATTTATTTCAATCAAGGCAATGCCTCTGTTTAGTTCCGACACTTGGCAAGCGCGTCACCACAAGCATTTCTAACAGACTTCGGATTTTTTTACCAATAGCTGCCTTCTCTCCATAATGAAAATCAAATGGCCATCCAGAAAGGATTATGAGCAAGGGACTGTGACAACAAGCCGACCAAGAGATCATCGCTTAATAAAATGTGAAGAAGGATGCGGAGATGGATTGGACATACTCTGAGGAGATCACTAAGTGACACCTGGTGCTAGGCGGAAACTTTAAGGCGGGCTAAATGGGAAACGATGAGTTTGGCGTGTATCCAAATGTGACATGGAGAAGAACGCATGAGGAGGAGATGAAAGCTTATGAGTAATCGTAAAGCCAGCTAAAAATGATTTCCGAGAACAGAGTGAAATGAAGATATTCTATTGAAGCCTTATAAATCCCTAATAGTAATAATAATAATTTGCTTTATTCCAGAAACAGTACTAGTGGTACAGTGTGGAATTTTCAGCACATATCTACAATATTTGCATCTAATTTTATCAAACATTTAAAAGGAGTATTTCAAAAAATAAATATAAAGACAACAACAACGAAAAGAAATAGTAAAAAATGCGAAAAAGAAAAAAATACAAGAAGTTGAAAGGAATCTAAAACAACGTAAAATAATATCTCAGTATTGGGTAGTGGAAGCTATGATATGATTATGCATGGTGACAGTAAAGCTGTAGTCATACAAGAAGTTATGAAATGATATTTAAGAATGTTTATCGCCAAGATGATTGGTTAATTTAGGTTGAAACAACTCTAAACAATCATAAAATAACATTTCAAGGTTGTTTTTTTTATCAGGTCTAATGCGGTGTTTGTAGTGGTAGTGTGAGTAATCCTGCATAATAAAAAATTTTAAGGTGGTGATAATGGCTTTCACAACCAATGATTGTCAGTTAATATTGCCGAACAAAAAAAACTACAACCACAAAAACTAATAATTACATGATGGTTAATGACAGGACAATTTGTACTACTCATAGTGCTAATATAGTCGGAACCAGTAGATACACAAAAAAGGAATAAAGTACAAAAAAGGAAGCCAATGTTATTAATTTAGGTAGCCAAGTATGTTTAAGAAGGAGTTCACCATAGAATACAAAATAAGAGAGAAATAAAAGAGTCTAAATTATTAACAACAAAGGAAGTCATAGGTTTCGCGCTTAACATTGTTTCTGTCACTTAGAACACGGGCCAAATATGGTATCGTTGAGTTCCTGTACTTGGTTGTACGAGCATATATTATTTTATACTGATTTCTGGTTCTACTTGATGAGATACAAGGTGAGAGTTAGGAATAGAGGGGGTGTTGGGGGTCGGAGAGTATGGTTTTAGACCATTTTTCTTAGTATTCAGCTGCCACAATGTGGCACCAAAAATTGATGAGGTATGTAAACACCCTCGTAACCAAAGAGGATTATGATAATAATCACCTACACAAGTAATTTTATTCATGCAGTATAACAATTAGAAGCGGCTTACCGTTTAAAAAAATATCAAAGAATTCTAACATTTAAAATGATAATTAATTCTAGCCTTTCTGTTTACATGTAAATAACCAGTATATTCTTGTACTCTTTCGTATGAAATAAAATAAAACTAAAAGTAAGAAGTAAGGGACAGAGTATAGTTGCATAAATTAAATTAATAAGTGTAACTATGACAGCCGAATAAATTATTTTGTCTAGAAGCTAATAGTCAAATTTTTTTTTACTTCACTTAACAAGTATACTGATATTTAATTCCATTTGGCTTCCTCGTTGACTGATTGAAACGTAGTGCTCAGTCTCAGGCTGATATGTCGGCCCCTTGTGCAGATGCTTGGATGATGTCCGATTATTTAACTTGAAGTAAATTGGTGGATGGTGATTAGCAGTGGAACGCAGAATACTCGTTTCGTCTTTTTCGGGACTCGTCACTCAGACGTAGCTGCACTTTCCAGTGAGTGATAGTGTTCGCACTGAGGCTCCAACCCAGTAACCATCGTTTCAAAAGCCAAAGAGTTATCCAGTAGACTAGTCAGACCAAGAAAGCGATCATACACCAGTTTGCTTTAAGTTGAATAATCAGACATCATCGAAGCATCTGCACAAGGAGGCGACATGTTAACCTGAGGTCAAGTACTTCGTTCCAATCAATCAACAGGAAAGCTAAATTACATTAAGTAATTACTGATATCCGTTACACAAGAGGTGACAGTGGTGGCTCAAGTGGTCTAGTAAATAACTTTTTGGCATTTGAAAGGACGGGTACTGAGTTTGAGACTCATTGGGAACACTCTCTGGGGAATGCAGGTACATCTATGTAACAAGCCCCGAATGGGACAAAGTACGCATTCTAGATTCCAATGTTAGGCACCATACACCGATTCACTCCAAGTATACTGACACTTGAAAAAGGCTATCATTGTCATCTCTCCTCATTTTCTCCGGATGAGGCAATTTATTAATACTTTCTACGTCTCCACGTTGTCGGGCTACAAGTATCATAACATAAACCACTGTTTGGATGGGTGACTTTATAACTAAGTCATTCATGGAACACCTCAGTCCTTGTAAGAACTGTCCATATACTTTTGTTTTTCATGAATATACGGCTTGATGATATTGCGACTGTTGATAACATTCATTCCACTTTCTAAAGTTTTACAAATGATATACATTTCCATCAAAACGTAGGTGATAATTAAAGCAAGTTGGTTTGTTAAATTGTTGCTCATTTGACGTATAATTAATTCTTTGTATTCAATTTTCCTTTAATCTTTGCGTTCCGACTGAAACAGAGGGTTTCGAACCTGAGGTTTGAAGTTTCAGTAGTGACGGTGTCAATTTCATGGGGTGGAACTAATAGCCTCACACTCGGCCTTCTTCTCTCTTTACCTCTGTGACTATCGGCTAAGAGCAAGGTTTAGTAGCACGTCGAAATCGAATACCGAACCACAAGAGTGGTTTGCAAGTGTTCTGCTACAGAACTATTGACGTACAATATGTTCTAGTACACCTTTTCTATTATTTCCAGTGTAGACAGCTATCTTGATTTCGGTTTAGGCCTGTCTCCAATACGCAATCTGAAAATAACGTGCACATTTATGTATCCATATTTCTGTTCGTAACACAGTGATATAATATGGGCATTCGTTCATTATATACATATGTATATATATATATTGAACGCTGTGAAGAATAAATATGTTAAATTTTATTAATACTTTCTTGCAATTATTCATAACTATGTCATTTCACTTTCTTGTATTTTATTTTCAGTGGAAACACGCAGAAAAGGCTCAGGTTTAGATCAAATGGATGACAATCTCTTTATGAACACACGATTGACTGATCAGTTAGGCGGTATGCGACAACAACCAACACAAAAGCTACAAGATCAACCACAAAAATCACAACAAGATAACAAAAACAGTTTATCTACACCAAATTTAGCAACTATTCCAAGCAGTGATAATAATAATAATGAAAGTAGCAATGTGAATACTCAGGGATCACCGACTGCTCGTGTTGACACATTGTCAGACAGAAGGAAACGCATAAGCCAACCACAAGATGAAGAAGAAAAGCCAGTAAAAAATACAAGTGAGGCTGGTAAAGGTGGCCTGGCAACAGCTGAACAAAGGACAGATTCTGTATTAGATTCAAAAATACGAAAAGTAGGCGTAGACTTAAAAGGTTATAATCTTGACGTAAGCAATAAAAGCGATTTCAACAATCGTCAAATTGATGAGGGAAATGCTGTTGATTCACTAAGTTCAGGCGTAGAAGAAAATGCTGAAGCTACAGAACAACCAATTCAGGCAGGTATGAATTCAGCTAACTGTGGTGATGGTGATCGCGCTGGTTCTATCAATACCTTATCCTCGTCCCCACTGAAGTCAGCTGATGAAGATGACGATGTAGTGAATGAAGATCTTATCACCGCTGATGTAAGACCAAATACTGATTCAGATGTGTATCAGAAAATTAAAGTTGGAAACTGGCTAGGAGCTAATGGGATAAAACCTTTTGAAGATGTACAAATGAAGCCTTCAGTAAGTGCAGAAGATTACCGTCAAAAAACAAACAACTATAGTGTGAGTAAAACGGATGAAAAGTTAAATACAATAAATACCAGAGCTTCGCAAATTGAATCTAATCCAACACCAAGAGTAAATAAGCTTTCTAAGGAACCTTTGAAAGACTATTCATATACTGAAGTATCTGATATGTCGGCGACAGCACCTCCAGTAAATTCATCTCAGAAACGTGTTGAAGCAGTTAGCGAAACAAATAAATATCAACAGGTGATAAAACCGCCTGATAATTCCCCTACACCGAATGATAAAATAAACAAACTACCCAAAAAAACTAGGAAGGAATTTAGTCCTGTTACTATAAACACACAAGGTTCAGATAACAAACAATCAGTAAAATATATTAGTGATCCTTCTCCGCCAACTGAATTTGATGATAATAAAAATAAACAAAATCCCTTACAAATGTCTACTGTGAACCGATCAAAATCACAGTACTTTAACAGGAATACATCAACAGATAGTAAATATAGTAGAAGTAATAGTAAAGCAAACTCACCAGCTGTGATAAGTAAGCCTGAAATTCCATCAAGCAGTCATGCTTCCGGTATAGTGACATCAAAATCTGATCTTTACTTTCCTTACGCACGTAATATCTCCACTACTACAAATGTGCCCATGAGTGGTAGGACTCTTCAATCATCAGTCGATATATCTATAAATAACCAGTATCCCAACTTACCAATTTCGTCTATGAAAGTCTATTCGGAATCACGTAACGACATTATTTATCCTAAATTACCAAATTCAGAATTATTACTGTCAAAACAAACACAAAGACTTCGAGTTAATACAGGCAATTCCAATGATCAACTGCCGACAACAGAGAGCCGCAGAACTATATACAGTTCAAGGAATTCGACAACAACAAAAGACTTATCACCTCAACCTAGAGATTGGTATCAGAACACTTCGTTCAATGCTAATGAAAATGACAGGAACTATGAAGGTTGTACAAGTATAGGCCCTGATATAAGCAATATAATCTTGGATCCTATAGATGATGAACAACCCAAATTTTCTTCAAATAGAATGAATACCATGGAAACTGGAAATGGTAGTGCTAGTAGGCGTAGTCTTTCAAGTGATATGAATACTAAATTAACAAACGGTTTACTGTTTGAGAATGGATATCGTCCATTGAATTATAATCAAACACCGAATAAAATTGACAGTACGTATTTTACTACTAACATCAATGCCAGTAGTAGTTATATCAACATGCCAAATAGTATGCTAGAACAAACTACTAATTGTCGTGATTTAATTTATCCGACGGATTCATCATCAATGGCAAAAGCAACGAAATTAATTAATGAAAGTCAACCATTTTACTCATCAACAAGTACAGATATATTCATTTCAAAATCACAACCAAATATTGTAAAATCTAAATCTTCAACTGTTCAGTTTGGTGGAGGGAATCAAGTTTATGATTTGAAACCAATATCAAATTCACTAGCTTCTATAACACAATCGTCAAATGAAGGCGGTAATTCGCGTCTACTTGGTTCAACATCATATTTAAGTCAACAGAATATAAACAATAAGAAACTAGAAGTTTCCAATGCAAACAATGACAATTATAATAATAATAACAGTAATAATATTCAAAATTCCAATAAAAATGAGAGAACAGCTGGTAGTTCTGCTGCTCATTTAGCTGCCATGGGTGTTGGTGCCTATAAATTAGGCGATTCACTGGCTTTACTAACGACTAGAGCAGATCAGTTGATTGGACCGAATATGAGTAGCACTCCAACCAATGAATATACGGATAGTATTGTAAATCGAGCAAACGTGAAATCAGTTTCATTTAATACTGCTAACGATAATAATAATAACATGAGAAATCAGGTGAGACTTCAGTATATTTCTTCTTTTATAGTTAGTTTCCTTTTGAAAATAAACATTTATATGTAATGAATAATGAGAATTTTTCAACTGAAAATATCTAATGGGTGGTGAGTAACAGTGGAATCCAGTAAAGATGAGGATTTCATTCAGTTTGGGAACTGGTCAGCTAGATGTACCTGTATCTCTAGTGTTGTTCCCACTGAGACTGGAACACAGCACCCATTGTTCCAAACTTTAAAGTGAGCACATCCAGCTGAAGAGTCTTGGATTTCACTAGTAGTTACCATCTTATAAATAACATCAGGTGAATCTTCCTCCATCATCAAGGCATCCGTGCTAGCAGCCGATATGTACGCAGCGACACACATTTTTGTCCAATGTGAACAATCAAGAAGAAAATACAAAATCGAAATACACAAATATTCAAAAGTTGTAGATTAAATCATTATCTTCAGTGCTTTTCATTTGTTAACATTTGGACAGTTACAAAACATGATGAAATAATAGGAGAATTCGGTTCAAGAATGAGTGTACAAATGACGGTACTAGTGTTGGGGATTAAAACAGAAGAAAAGTTGCTTTCTAGATTTTACCTACAATAGATCATGTCCACTGTTGTTGCTACAGTGAAAACAAACCAACTTCGATTATTACTATTATTATTCCCTTTCAGTACGAGTGGGATATGGGCCTTCAGCAGCATATCTACATTTCATTCTTTTCTCTGCAGTCCTCTTTCGCCAGATCTACGATTGCTCATACGCGTTCATATCCTTTTCATAGGATCTTTTCCGTTTCACCCTCCAACCTACGCCCAGCTCATCATTTCATATTCGTGTTACAGCCGAAGGTCTGTGTGGCTAGACGTCACTGAACGGTCTTCTCAGTGTGTATGTGTCCGATCCATTTTCATTTGCTACTACATATTGGTTTAGCGGTAGGTTCTAAGTTGGTTAGTTGTCAAAGTTCCTTGCTACTTATCTTTTTTGATCATCCGATTCTCAGTATACAGGGAAAATAGCTGTTGACAAATGTCTATAGTAGCCTGTTCAGAATACTTTTGCTGACGTTTGTGCCAACGCTTTGAGCCATATAGAAGCATTGACTGACTTGTCGTTAATGTTGCCACTCCAAGGTCTTCCCCTATGCGGAGTACAGTTGATCTCCATAGTGACCTCAAAATAATAAAGGTCAGTGTCGCTTTACTGTTACTCAGTCTGACATCCCCATCTAGACCAACTCCTGTTGTTTGAAACGATGCTGTATGAATGGTAAATGGAAGAGATAACTTCCTTTAGATTTCTTCCACTGATATTTGTTGTTGGTGGTTAGGTATCTTCATCACGTCTTTCTTCTCTGTGTTCACTTGAAATACTGCGTTAGCTGCATCTTCTGCCCACCTGTTGATTACCGCCTGTAAATCTTTGAGTTTGTATGACATTGATAACAAATCATGCAGTCAACTAAACAGGATTTAGAGAATAGGATGCATTGGAGATGTGCTGTTGAAAACCTTCGTTCTCCCGAGAACCCAGGGGAAAATAATAATAAGTATTCTACCATATTATTATTTTACATTTCATCTGACTCCCAGGTCATTGTTATCCATCCGTTCAATTGTGAAAATTAATTACAAGCTCAGCAAACTGTTATGATATAAATGACATTGTCAAATTAATCTAAGCTTTCACAACATAACATCATTCTCATATTATATACATTGTACAAAGAGTGGGAATGTATGAGGAAACATTTTTTAAGATGTTTATTTAGAAATCCAAATTACTATTTTCGAACTTACTCAGCATTCTCCAAAGGTTGATGTGGAAAGTGTTGAGAGAAAAGAAGAAGTCCAGCAAAGATATCTTTTCGGTGATTTTCTTCTCAAAAGATTGTGAAAAAACTTAAGTCTCAAAGTCGTGTGATTACAACTGATATGATTATAAACAATAAATTTTGTTGAAAACGTCATCCAGTAAATAATACTGTTTCACTGTGTGATATATCTAATAATCCAACTAATATGGAATTACTGACTACCACAGTGCCCAAGTTTTGCACATATATTAATGATGTTGAATCGCATTTACACACATAGATACAGTTATTATTTGATTCCACATAATAACGAAGGGAGGTTAAAGAGGATAATACTTTTTAAATGGATATGAAAGTTTGAAGGTGTACATATAAATTACAAGGCGCCTAGAAACAAAATTACACAAGGTTAAAAAGTGTGAATGCGATGATCATGGAAACAAATTGAAATAATAATAATAAATAAATAAATAATAAATAAATATTAATAAATAATAATAATATCTTATAACTGAAAAGAAGTAATTACGGGGATGAAAAATGAAACCTAAGTAAACAAATCGAACTTGATCCATGGTAAACGTAGAGGTTAGGCTAGTTTCTTTTAGATACATACGGCTCCGGTTTCTCGATGCTTCTGAAGTACAAAACAGTCGGAAACACACTGTTCTGATGGGTATTTTTCACAATTCATATTTCTCATAGCTTAAGAAGTTGGAAGTTAATCACCTTTTAAGTATGCAGTTTCATTTCCAGTTGTCTAGAGTTGTTCGCTAATTTGATTTACACACCCAGAGGAACATCTTAAGAACAAACTTCCATATTTGAAGGATGATATTCAGATATACATCACTGTGTATCATGAGAAAACACTTCAATGCAACAGGTGCTCTTTAACCTAAATTAAACATTTGCTTAACTTAACAAATAATAAAAAATTACTTTTCAAAACGAAGTCCCGCACAAAGCAACTTATAATTATGATACATGGAGTGGTGAGATTTCTCAAGACTGCAAACTCTGTGTTGACTGATAGCAGCAATAAATCATTTAGACTGCTTTTCAGTAAGCTTTGCTAAGAAATTAATAAGTATTGACAATGCATCACTGAGTGGGACTAAAATTAATATTTCACACAATTATTCCCTTTATGTGGATTTGAATAAAGCGAGAACAACTGTGGTTTGAGAGAAATGAGATAATGCCATCCTTGTTTAATTTTGCTCGCCCCGCATCAGCTGCTAACAGTCTAAGGTAATTATTAAGTTTATGCACAGAACAATTTTAAAATACCTTGAAACGGTAATCAATGTCAGTTAATGACAGGAGATTCTAAACTGAATGAACAGTGCTCAAAAATCAAACTAATATGACTTATATACAGAAAGTTCAAGTTAAAATAAAGGCTTGGATATAATGGCAAAAGAGTTTTGTAAGAAAGGTAGGATGATGAGTAACAATGTCTTGAGTTCAACTCAGATCATAGAAACGAGAGACAAGTTACTTTATAGCGACGGGGAAGAGGTTAAAGCCATGAATCACGTAATCAAATGAAGGCAGGGATAGAAAGAAAAGACATTCAGTTGCCATGGCAAGGAAAGACTGACAACCTCTTTTTCCTAGTCTTCTGACAGCAATCGCTTCAGTGAACTTGAGGAGGATTGAAGTATTTCGTCTGCTGATCATTCTAAAAGTTCTGACGATGTTCACCTGATAACCCTTATCAACCAGATGCCTGGCAATGGTACTATTTAAAGAGTTTGTTGTCTTGAGACGTATGATTTTCGGTACATTTTCGGAAACCGAAGGTGTACCGTTTTTCTTTTCTTCCAGTGTAACTGCTACTGCAGATACATGTAATTGTTTATATACAATTAGGTTACCTTTGTGGTCAAGTTTCAGATATTTAAAATGAGGCCTTGTCTACTACATTACTTGAATGCACTATATACCGATACGCTATATTCTTTATCAAGCCGAGTACTGTGTGGTGAACACTAATTGCAGTAGGATAAGCCAACAAATTTTGAATACACTCACGTAGTTCACTGATTTGATTTCGCTCACTAAATATTCATTTTCATAAGTAAAACTAGTTTAGGAGGTGATGGAAGTGACGTTTATTCAGGGTACGATGTATGCTAACGCAAGTGCTTATACCCTCAACTCCTACAATATTTGATCTTCTTAGATCAAAAGCATATCAAAACACCAAATTGATTGTTCAAGATACAAAATATATTTCGGGATCAAAATCGTAGGGCAATGTTGAATGCTAAGCTAGCCAGAGATCATGCACGAAATAATGAACATAACACGGTGGTATGCCAAATGGCGTGAATACTTGACCGAGAGTCTTCAACTTAACGCGTTGACTTAGACAATAAAGGTCAGCATCTAATGATGAGTGATGAAATCTGTAGATTAATCAATTTTGGGGAGTTATTTACCACGAGAAGAATGTCAAGAAACAGAGGTGATGTTAAGGAAACTGATAAGCTCTTAAATTCAGTTAATTCCATACAGCTCTAGGACGATTTCGTTGAACACAAGAGAATATATATTTGTGTGCATAATAATTGGCTTCAAAATAAGCTTAGCAATTTTTCAAAATGTTTCATAAGCCACTTTTACCCATCACAACTCTTCAAGTTATAATTATCCTTTCTGATTACATGTTTGTCTGTTGAAATTTTTATTGAAGCAAAAGTTTTTGCCAAGTTGGACATCTGCAATCTCTGTTAGAACATGAATAGCAACTACACGTTACAGCTAATAATTTATATCAGTAATACTATAGGCGATACTTTGATATAATAAGAAGTTATATTTGGTCGTTTTCTGGATTGAGGGACACTATTAATAAATCTGATGTTGAGGGAAGCAAAGTTAGTCGGTGGTTCAGTGATGGAATGCTTGCCAACTACGCGACATGTGGTCCGGAGTTCGAACACTTGCTGATGCACTCGTAAGCCTCTCTCTTGGCCAGTAGGAACTCTTGAAGAGGGATAAAGTTAAATGTGAGACTAGTGACCTCATATTGTGAAAAGAACTACTATTGCTAGCGAAACTTCAAAGCTGAAGCTTGAAGCCCTATATGCTTCACCTGGAACGGAAAAGAATGGAATTGCAAACGAAACTGCTCTAGGCCAAGTTAAACTTTAGGTACCACTAACTGCCAATCAGAGAATGACCTTGGGTGGTTCAATGAGTTTCATCCACGTGAGTTGAAGGTTTTCTCCGGCTTGATTCGAGTCAGATGCCTGCACTAACGCAGTTGCGCTTGCAGTTTGGTGACGATAAGGTTGTCCAATATTGCTTAAATGTTGGGATGCTTAGGTAGGAAAGGATTTGTTCATATGGAGGCATCATGAGCATAAAAAGCTTTAGCAGGTCAGTCGACAAATGTGCCCATCGTTGAGCAATTTGTTTTGAGACGAATTAGTGTCAGGGAAGGTAAGCTGACAATTCTTAAATCTCTTAGGAAAATTTCTCGCCCGGTCCCATATGTCCTTAACCCAGATTTTGTTCACTTGTGATTACTGGGTTTTAAAGCAGCCTGTGAAAGATGCAGCTGCTGAAACAGAAAATAGTCCAGTATGAACAGTTCAATAGTACCAGCACTGCAGAGATATCGTCTCATGGAAAATGGAGAGATCTGCTTCCTTATTGGCAGGAGAAGGTATCATTGTACATGTGGATGAAACTGTCCTATTTGAGAAAAAATACAACCGTGGTCGTGAACGAGCAACCAATGTTTGGATGATCAGCTTATATGACACCTCTCTACAGAAACGATTCGTTGACAGGATAGCAGATACAAAGTCAACTACCTGAGTACCTTTTATCAGTCGACTTGGGAAACAGAGATCTATAACATACACCGATGACTGGAAAGTTTATTAATCCCTGTCACCCCTTGGATATATTCACCACAGATTCAACCATTCTAATGATTTTGTGGATCCTATTACAGGGACACACACCAGTTCTATAGAAGGCTTTTGGGGAAGGTCAACAAACAGGATTAGGGCCATTAATGGATCTCAAAAGGATGTCATTTAAAGTCATTTAGATGAATATATCTTTAGGATGTGGTGTAACTTTTCAAATGATACTTCTATGCTAAACTGGGAGATGTTTTTGTCACATGTGGGAAAAAGATATCCTTTCTTACACTTCTATACAGTTTTTATGCATCTTTTTTCCATAAATATATATATCCCATAACCAAAAAGTCTCCTTCACATGATTGGTGCGTTCAGCGCCACTCGCTGATCAGTACTTAGTAGTGTTTAGAGTTTAACTTTGACCTACCTTACTGTTTTTGTCATTCAAAATCTTCTTAAGCATTTATTATTCATTATTTATTCATATCTCACAGATTATTCAGTGATAAATACCTGTTTAACCTGTTTATTCTAGACATATCAAGTGAATGTTAAACAGCCGCCTCAGTCATCTCTATCTCCTACATCAACAAAACCATTTTCAGTAGTACAGTCAGTCAATTTGCCAAAGACATCTAGTCAGCTGAAAGGCAGTAATGACGGCGTCGATGGCGATAGTGGTAAAACGTCACAAGTAAACTATTATTATAAAAGGTTAGCACCCATGTATACTTCTTCGTTAAAAATTTCACTTATCTCATCAAATTTTACAACTTCTTAGGAAAGTAACTAGTGAATAAATTTACATTTGTTTATTGGTAACCTTTTATTTTATTTTATTTTATTTTTGAGGTGGTTGGGGATTTGAGACACACTTTTTTTTAAAATGCTTTTCTTTTTTAACGGGAGTCGGTATTTGGTGGTTTTTGTTTGTTTAAGTATGAAATACATTGAATATACACATGCATATATATATATATAATTTACAATGGTGAAAAAAATTGTAATTCTGTTTTAATTAACTAGGAACAGTGTAAAAATCATATAAATGTGTTTAACGTGTCAAGATAATTGTTTATAAAATTTAAACTACATCAGACTGCCTTTTAATATGTTGATATACTGCTCTACTTATCGATGAGATAAATGATAAGTGAAGTAGTCATGAAGTGGTTGCACATCAGATTCAGAAAGTTTTTAACTTTATTCTCCATAGCCATGGGGGGACAACGGGGGCTATTCATCCATTAGTAGTACTACGTCCTCTCAAATGGATGAATTAATATCACCATTTCTGGTAACCTCTTCTTAGTCTTATAAAAGTTTTTGATGTTGAAATCCTAAATGTGCGTCGGTGGCACAGTGGTTAGGACTCATGCCAACCATCCACATGGTCCGGGGTTCGATCCCCTGCCGACGCACACCTGATATCACTGGTCGGCCTGCAAAATTTGGGCTACCGATATCACACGCTGAAAATTCCATACCTGCACCAAAAAATACGGTGTGGCATCAAGCTGTTATCAAAAAAAATTGTGGAGATGATCATTCAGCTATGTCGACATATTACTAAGCGTTCATTTAACCAGGAAGACTACAAACGTTGTCCAAGGCTCGGTTCCCGGTCGACACACCGTCTCTGGCGTAGGCGTTATATCCGGCTATCAACCAAGGGACGTGTGTACTCCTCAGCAGTTCGCGCCGTCCTTCTCTATGGCGGTGAGACGTGGCCATTGAGAGCGGAAGACATGAAAAGGTTGTCTGTTTTTGACCACAGATGTTTACGATCTCTTTCTCGCGTTAGGTGGTATAATAAAGTGAGTAATGTTGACGTTAGGCGTAGAGTGTTGAGCAAAGAGGGAAAATCAGTCGAAGAGGCTATAAAGTTACATAGATTGAGATGGCTAGGTCACGTGCTGCGCATGCCTAACCATCGCCTCCCCCGACGGGCATTACTAGCTGATATAGGTGCAGGTTGGAAAAGAGTAAGTGGTGGCCAAACAAAAACATGGCATCAATCCATGAAATCCCTGACAGTTAAACTGAGTCAGGTAGGGAGATGTAGACTTCCGGGTTGGGGCCCTCGGGACTCTAAGAATCAATGGCTGGAGACACTAGGTGACATGGCTCAAAATCGTTGTCAGTGGCGCAGATGTATTCAGTCTCTATAATGTTTCATATTCCTTTCTACCATTACTCATTCTGTTTCACTCTTATACTTGTCAAAGCTCTATTGATTCTCTTCACTCATTTTCTTGTCTACCTTTGTGTGGTATTTGGAACGTGGCAACTCGAGCTGCTGCACTTCGGTGCCAAGTTCTATGTTGAATCCAGCAGCAGCAAAACTCTTTTAACTGATAGTAAAGCCTCAATTTAGGGTAAATTGGGTATGAGCTTAACGACCGCACCCTTCAAAAAGGGCACCACCACTATTGTAACTTCAGAGCTGAACTTGGAGCTTTATGTTGCATTCAGAATGCAAAGGAATCAAAAAGGACTATTAATCCGCTTGAAGTGCTAGACAGCCTACTTGACGAATTTTACATTTCGGGATAGAAACCTATTAATTAATACGTATCGTTTGGTATTACGATATGACTTCTGTAACTACTTACTTATTGAATTTATACACCTAGCTCATTTAAAAAAATCATCCCACTACTACACACCACGGTTTCCGATTTTACTGACAATATTTTAATCACAGCTTTTCAGTAAGTGTTGTAACGATTAAAACAAAAGATGTAAAAATAATTACTACTTTTATTGGCTGACTGAGTGCGTCGGTGGTGCAGAGGTAGAATGTTCGCCAGAGACATGTGGTCTGCGGTTCATTCCCGACCGACGCACTTCCAAACCTCGCTTACCTGGTAATAAGCCCGACAATGAGGGAAAGTTGGACATGACACTGGCAACCCCACCTCATGAAAATAAAATCACTGTTACGGAAACTTCAAAGTTCCAACTTGAAGCCCTATGTTCCACTTGGAATGCAAAGGATGAGGAGTTATTGACTGAGTTTCAGTATAGGATTTCACAAAGTTTGCACCAGTTCAAGTTGTCACACTGCACATAGCAAACAAATGAAGACAAAGGCAGATTCAAAAGAACCGCAATGAGCAGAAATATTTGGGAGAAAGAATAGTAACATGAAAAAACATGAGGGATTAATGAATATAGTAGATCACAGGGACTGAATGTATCTGAGCCATTTAGAAAGACTTTGAGCCACGTCACACCGGTAGTCTCCACCCATTGGTTCTTATCATCCTGAAGAAACCAAACGAGCATTCTGTGGCTCTCTATGTGGCTCAGATCACCTGTCAAACACTCCCTGGGTCAATTCCTGGTTTTGAATTGACCACCCTTAACTATTTTCTAACCTAAATCTGTATCAGTTAACACTGCTCTTTGAAGTGGACGGTGACTCGGCATGCGCGACGCTTTTCTCAGTTTTCTTGATCGATGTAACACGACAACTTCACTTGATAGACTTTCCTTCCTTACCCAACACTCTAACCACAGTAGTTCAGTAGAAAGGAAAGTGTAAAGGTTTTAAACTGGACTTTTCAAACTGTATATTTTTTGTGATAAATTAGTGATGTACAGTCTATCAATGGATACTAGATTCGAGTCTTAATGCTAACAACACCACTCTCTGGAGGTTGCAGGTGCATCGTCCTGAATAGGACGAAATGCACATCCCGGATGCCACTGCATGTCATCATCCACAAAATAATATAGTGCTAATCCTCAGACATCGTCGAAGAGTCTGTAATAAGAGCTGACATGTCAACAGAGGCTGACACATTTCAGTCCAATCAATCGACGGTGGAACCAAAGATGACTTAAATAAAATATAAATTAATCTAATAATTACTGCCGAGAAATAACTGATGTAGCTTAATGGTGAAATATGTCAGTATATTTAAATAAAGCAAGAACAACAGTGGTTTGTGCAGAATAATATGGTACCATCATTTATTTCGTCGGCTTTTCATCATCTGCTTACAGCCTAAATAAATTGTGAGGTTTACATACAGAAAAGTTTTAACATACTTGCAAATTTTACATGTTATCAGTTGACAGAAAGTTCTACAATTAGTGAAAAGTGTTCAGAAAATTGTGCTTATATAGTTTTTACACATGCAGTTCAAGTCAAAATAAATGTATGCATACAATGGTAAAGGAGTTACGTAATAAAGATGAGAGGTGAGTAAGATGATGAGTAACTAATAAATTTGGCAACGATGTACTGAGTTCAAATCACGTCATAGAAACAAGAGACAAGCAATATTACAGATTATAAAAAAGAGGGGTGAGGTTAAAGACAAAGATTACGTAATCAGAGTAGAGAATAAAGACATGCAGTTACCATGGCAAGGAACGACTAACAACTGCTTCTTTCTGAACACATAAATCTGGTTTGAAGCGTTTGATAGAAATTGCTTCGGCAAACTTGGGGAGAATGGAGCTCCTTTGTCTATTGATAATTTTAAAGGATTTCTCGATTTCCACCTTATGACCAGTGTCGAGGAGATGCCTGGCGATGGCGATGTGTAAAGAATTTGTTCTTTTTAGACGTAAGCTTTTTGGTACATGTTCAGAAAATCGTAGATATGCCCTTCTTTCTGTCCTTCCAATGTAACTGCTCCCGTAGATACATGTAAATTTGTATATGCAGTTGGAGTTCACATGAGAAGGATATCTATCGATTTTTGATTGCACCAAAGAGCAAGTTGTTCGATAGACGGGAACGAGCTTTGCTGCAGTATAGGCTATAGCCAGTGATGTACTCAGCTTTCTGTTGATCATCGCTGAAATATTTTTACCTTTATAATTAATCTCAAAGTAGATTGGCTTTTTTTCCACTGTGATTTGTTTTTAATTTGCGACTTCAGATCTTCCATACTTGTTGATGAACCTTTGAGGGTACCCATTGCTCTTCAATGTCTTTTCAAGAAACTCAATATAATTTGTGAGCACTATTAAAATCTCATAAATCCCAAGTTATACCATCTCAACTTAGATTATCAGCCTGTCAAATAAACCGCTGAATTATTATAAAAGGTTATAAATTACAGAAATGAATCTTTTCGTAAATAATCTTGCAAACGCATTTAGTCGATACATAAATAAACAAATAAATAAAAGGGAATGTCAGATGAACTCAGTAAAAAAAGTATATTTTGAAAACAAAAAACGATAACAAACCTCAAAAAAGCAGATCTAGTTCTTCTTGTCATTCAGAATGTGATACGTTTATGAAAAAAGGTCAGTTTGAAGACGTTTGTGAGAAAAACTTAATTGGATGGAGGATTTCATCATGAGTTGACAACAGTAACTGGAAAAATTGTATTGCCATTTTACAATTAAATAAACATGTGTATTGAAAACAATTAGTCCCTTTTATAATTTTGAATAGTGTTATGAAAAATGTCATTTATTTCCGCTATATATTTCGAACAATCTGATCACACATTTACTTGTCAAGTCGGTGTATATGAAAAGAAATACAAAGGGCAATTCAATTAAACAAAGTGACTAATTGGATTTAAGAACAATAAAAATAATTAACACAGCGTTTGGTAATCCAATCGAATAAGGTTTACCAAGGTAGGTTAAGAGTAATAATAAACTTGAATAAGGCATTTACAAGACAAATTTCTCGAGATGATATCATTTCGTAGTTTCTTTACAACCGCTTTGCAACT